AGACCCAAAAACGCATGCAAACAATAGCGAAGATTATGCGTTGTATGTTTAAAGTTGATCCCATTGAAGTCTGTGGGACCAAAAATGTTTGATTTTTGTTCAAAAATAGCATATGTTCCTCTTTGAGTGTAGGGCATCAAGCGACTAAGCGTTGAAACAGCCACAATTACAAACAATGGAATTCTGCATGTTGATCCTAGTCAGGCGTAGTGAAGCACATTAACAAGAACAATAATTTCTGTTATTTTGGAATACCTTATCTGCTTACATAGTTAGTCTGGCTGAAAAAAGACAAAAGTCCATCCAGTTCAACCATAGAAAAAAAAGAAGTTATAATCCTACACCCACAGTTGATCCAGAGGAAGGCAAAAACACCCAGCAAAGCAGGATCCAATTTGCTCCTGCAGGGGAAACAATCCCTTCCTGATCCCCTGAGAGGCAATTGGATATTCCCGGGATCACCTTTCCCTATAAATGTTATATCCAGTTATATTCTGTGTATCCAAGAAAGAATCCAGGACTTTCCTACAGCAATCCACTGAGCTGGCCACAACTGACTCTTGAGGACTCTATTCCACATTCTCACAGCTTTTACTGTGAAGAAACCTTTCCGTGTTTGGAGATTATGGAAGGGTTTGCAATAGGAAGAAGGGTTAGCCGCACACCAGAGGATTGATGAATTATAGCAAATATTTATTGGTCCATAGGACACACAAAACAACAAGACGTGTCCATACTTTGTTAACGCGTTTCAAGAAGCGTGTGAATAAGCACGTGATCGTGTGAAACGCGTCAACAAGTTCTGTACACATGTCCTGGTAATTGTGTGTCCTATGGACCAATAAATATTTGCTATAATTCATCAATCCTCTGGTGTGCGGCTAACCCTTCTTCCTATTGCATTACGTGTGGTGGCGAGCCAGATTCTGCACCTGCAGTAACAATGTAAAAAGAGAGCAGCGCTACGGTAAGCAATAATATATAATTGGATATGGATATATCAACATATCAGTGCAAAAAGTCCTAATGATAGTATGATCCAGATTAAAGTGACTCTTGTGCTCTGATGAATCTAAGGTCCGGTGTCCGTGCAATAGTGGTGACGATAATGCGCACTCACCGGACGCGCTTATTAAAAGCGCCTTGTATAGAATATTCCAGGCGTCATCAGGAAATGGGTAGTCCTCCCACTGATGTTAGATAGTGTGAAACTGGTGTGGGTGGTCCTCTTCCTTTATGGGGTTCCCCAATGGTCCTTGTGGGTAGTATCCCTCTGGATGGGCAGGCCTGCACTGTACTGCAATGATCCTTCCAAGTAATTGGTCTGCGGGCTAAAATACTCCCCCAGGGAGTAACAGAGAGACTCCCATAGTGTAGTAAGTATTATAAAACTTTATTGTGATGCATCCAGTTTAAATGGACAGAGTGATTCCAGACAGAGATCAAGTGAAGACTAACCGTCGGGTATAGTAAGATGGCCGCCGGAGCTCCACGTTGCTCCGGCAGCATGACGTCACCGCGTGGTGTGGCTCCTCCTGACGCGTATTGTGCTCAAGCACGTCCTCAGAGGGGGGTTGCCAATCACACCGTGTCATCCGCCGTTCTAATTTATAGGAGAGCCAGCACATGCGCACCAAGTAGCAGCCATGTTGGCGTAGTGCAGAGCGAACTGCACAGGCACGAATGTCCGAGCGCCATTTTCCCTTGGTTTTCCCCATATTGAGGAACAAAGCACAGCAGCTTATATTTAATTATATTTATTTATATCAAGGCGCTTACACTTACGTTACTTTCCAGAGTCTGCACCTGCCTTGGTGTGATTTGGATCATTTGCCTGAGCGGTAATACCTTTTCTCCTTGGATATGGAAGGGTTTGCAACCTTTTAAGCTATGTTACTACCCTTCCTGATATTGAAAGATATAAAGAGAATTAGAAGAATTAAAATGCTTGCTGTTCCGAGGGAAAATGCTGCTCCAAGCTCCCTCTGGTGTTGCCTACAGGCCTTGAGAAAAAATGTTTTGGTGAAGTGATCTCTCCAAAATTTTGTGTTTCCTGAAAATCTGTCAATATTGGCCTCTAATTTCACCGCGTGGCAACATTGGTATAAAGAAGTTTCTCTCTGAAGACCCCTCGATGTGTAACATGGCTTTCTTTACAAACAAAGAGTTAAAGTGTAAGTTCACCTTTTCAGAAAAAAAATGTAAAGGAGAACTAATTTTGGACACCCTTCACACCCCTCTGGTCCCCGCTGTACTTACCTCTAGGTTTGTTCAGTTGTCAGTACTCCCGCAGACGCACAAGAGGTCCAGGGGTTTGAAACCGCCGTTCTTCTCTCTCTTCTCCATGCAACGCTTCAGGGATGGACCAGATCAATTTTGATTGGTCAGTGCCATCACAATGATTCACTCTAATCCGCCCCAGGCCCACTGCACAGAGAAGAGAGGGGATTTCAAATGCCTGGACCGCTGGACTGGCTGCAAAAGTCTTGACAGCTCAGCAGGGGCAGACTGACCATTCGAGCACTCGGGCACTGCCTGAGGGCCCGGGGGCAGTAGGGGGCCCCATGAAATGCCCCTGGTACCTTTTCATAGGCTTTTTTGTGGGTGTGCTTTTAGTGTGGGCAAGGACACAGGGGCCCCATGATCCCCTATTGACCGGGGGCCCCATGAGTTGTCAGTCCTCCCCTGCAGCTCAGCACAGCTGAAGGTAAGTACAGCGGGCACTGTGGGTGTCTCTTTACATTTTTTTCTATAAAGATGAACTAACACTTCGAGTTTACCTTTAGAGCTAGGGTTGCCTTATAGCTTGCATTCCCCCCCCCCCCCCATACTCTGTAGGCCCCCAAGACTGTGGTTATACTATTTTTTTACCCACCTTTCTGATGTCTTTGGGCTGGTCACATGATTTAGTAGGAGAATGAACAATCCCAACGCAGATGTTCCTGCGTTTATATTTGGCTGCGGCAACCATCGTGGAACCGAGTAGTCAAAGGAGAAAGATGTCACCAGCACATCTAGGATCTCCAAAATAGGTCCAAAGCTTTATTAAGTGATCACATAGTTACAGCAAGAGCAATGTTTCGGAGCCTTGCCAGACCCCTTTATCAGGCATGAGACCCGACACTTGCCAGATGAAGGAGTCCAGCGTAGCTCAGAAACATTACTCTTGCTGTAACTATGTAATTGCTTAATAAAGCTGTTCTCAGTGTGCTGGTGACATCCTTCTCCTATGATTTAGTAGGATTCTGTTGCTCTTTGTATCATAACAAACCAAATGTAGGCAACTGGTTCAGCATTCACAGGTGGCGTCATAATACCCTTCACTCACAGTATGTCCTCAATCTTCTGGGATGAATGACATGGGACTGGTAATCATTCAATCCAGAAGACTGAAGACATCCTGTGGAAAAGAAGCAAGACTGCAGGGGACTACAACCTATTGAAGGTGAACAATGCAGCCAGTGCCTCTTACATTGTTAGTCAGTGGGAAGAATGTCCCTTACATTGGTGGTCAATGGGAAGAATGTCCCTTACATTGGGGGTCAGTGGGAAGAATGTCCTTTACATTTATGATTGGAAGAAAGTCCCTTACATTGGTGGTAATTGGGAAGAATGTCCCTTACATTGGTGATTGGAAGAAAGTCCCTTACATTGGTGGTAATTGGGAAGAATGCCCTTTACATTTGTGATTGGAAGAAAGTCCCTTACATTGGTGGTAATTGGGAAGAATGTCCCTTGCATTGGTGATCAGTGGGAAGAATGTCCCTTACATTGGAGGTCAGTGGGAAGAATGTCCCTTACATTGGGGGTCAGTGGGAAGAATGTCCCTTACATTGGGGGTCAGTGGGAAGAATGTCCCTTGCATTGGTGATCAGTGGGAAGAATGTCCCTTACATTGGTGGTCAGTGGGAAGACTGTCCCTTACATTGGTGATCAGTGGGAAGAATGTCCCTTACATTGGAGGTCAGTGGGAAGAATGTCCCTTACATTGGTGATCAGTGGGAAGAATGTCCCTTACATTGGAGGTCAGTGGGAAGAATGTCCCTTACATTGGTGATCAGTGGGAAGAATGTCCCTTACATTGGTGGTCGGTGAGAAAGACTGTCCCTTACATTGGTTATCGGTGGGAAGAATGTCCCTTACATTGGTGGTCAGTGGGAAGAATGTCCCTTACATTGGTGATCGTTTGGGAAGAATGTCCCTTACATTGGAGGTCAGTGGGAAGAATGTCCCTTACATTGGTGATCGGCGGGAAAGAATGTCCCTTACATTGGTGATCAGTGGGAAGAATGTCCCTTACATTGGTGGTCGGTGGGAAGACTGTCCCTTACATTGGTTATCGGTGGGAAGAATGTCCCTTACATTGGTGGTCAGTGGGAAGAATGTCCCTTACATTGGTGATCGGTGGGAAGAATGTCCCTTACATTGGAGGTCAGTGGGAAGAATGTCCCTTACATTGGTGATCGGTGGGAAGAATGTCCCTTACATTGGTGATCAGCGGGAAGAATGTCCCTTACATTGGTGGTCAGTGGGAAGAATGTCCCTTACATTGGCGGTCAGTGGGAAGAATGTCCCTTACATTGGTGATCGGTGGGAAGAATGTCCCTTACATTGTGGGTTCTGGGAAGAATGTCCCTTACATTGGGATCAGCGGGAAGAATGTCCCTTACATTGGTGATCAGTGGGAAGAATGCCCTTACATTGGGGGGTCAGTGGGAAGAATGCTCCTTACATTGGTGATCAGTGAGAAGAATGTCCCTTACATTGGTGATCAGTGGGAAGAATGTCCCTTACATTGGGTGGTCAATGGGAAGAATGTCCCTTACATTGTGGGTCAGTGGGAAGAATGCTCCTTACATTGGTGATCAGTGAGAAGAATGTCCCTTACATTGGGGGTCATGGGAAGAATGTCCCTTACATTGGTGGTCAGTGGGAAGAATGTCCCTCACATTGGTGATCAGTTAGAAGAATGTCCCTCACATTGGTGATCAGTGAGAAGAATGTCCCTTACATTGGGGGTCAGTGGGAAGAATGTCCCTTACATTGGTGATCAGTGGGAAGAATGTCCCTTACATTGGGTGGTCAATGGGAAGAATGTCCCTTACATTGGTGGGTCAGTGGGAAGAATGCTCCTTACATTGGTGATCAGTGAGAAGAATGTCCCTTACATTGGGTGGTCAATGGAAGAATGTCTCTTACATTGGGGGTCAGTGGGAAGAATCTCCCTTACATTGGGGGTCAGTGGGAAGAATGCTCCTTACATTGGGGGTCAGTGGAAGAATGCCCCTTACATTGGTGGTCAGAATGTCCCTTACATTGGGGGTCAGTGGGAAGAATGTCCCTTACATTGGGGTCAGTGAAGAATGTCCCTTACATTGGGGGTCAGTGGGAAGAATGTCCCTTACATTGGGGGTCAGTGGGAAGAATGTCCCTTACATTGGTGATCAGTGGGAAGAATGTCCCTTACATTGGGGGGTCAGTGGAAAAATGTCCCTTACATTGGTGGTCAGTGGAAGAATGCCCCTTACATTGGAGGTCAGTGGGAAGCAATGTCCCTTACATTGGTGGTCAGTGGAAAGAATGTCCCTTACATTGGTGGTCAATGGGAAGAATGTCCCTTACATTGGGGGTCAGTGGGAAGAATGTCCCTTACATTGGTGATCAGTGGGAAGAATGTCCCTTACATTGGAGGTCAGTGGGAAGAATGTCCCTTACATTGGTGGTCAGTGGGAAGAATGTCCCTTACATTGGGGATCAGTGGGAAGAATGTCCCTTACATTGGGGGTCAGTGGGAAGAATGTCCCTTACATTGGTGATCAGTCAGAATGTCCCTTACATTGGTGATCAGTGGAAAGAATGTCCCTTACATTGGTGGTCAATGGGAAGAATGTCCCTTACATTGGGGATCAGTGGGAAGAATGTCCCTTACATTGGGGATCAGTGGGAAGAATGTCCCTTATATTGGTGCTCAGTGGGAAGAATGTCCCTTATATTGGTGCTGTGTCCATGCAGGTCAAGGCAACATGTTTGCTTGAGGACTTGGTCTACAGGCTTTTGTTTGCTTCAGGTCTACAGGGTTGCAAAATCTGTTTGAAACAGGTCAAAGGAAAGTCAGAAAGAGGTCAACTGCACCTGTCAATGAATTCTGATGAATGTCAGAAGCATTTCAAACTGCGGCCATTGACTCTAACCCAAAGCATGATGACACAGCTCCTTAAACCTTTAATGCCTGAAGGTAGAACAAATCTTAACACTTACATCCAGTTCTTCAATCTTACAATTGTACATATCATCGAGACGACTTCGTATATCCAATGGAATTACAGCTTGTCTTGTCTTCAGACTTGGATTCAATGGAGTTGATTTACTAAAGGCAAATAGACTGTGCACTCTGCAAAGTGCAGTTGCTCCAAACGTAGTAAATGAAGTAAAGCTCCACTTTGCAAAGAATACCCAATCATGTGAAAGGAAAATAAAAAAAAACAAACTGTATTTTTTGTGCGCGCGCATGATTGGATGATGGAAGTCAGCAGAGCATCTGCTCATTTACTAAGCTCTGGAACAACTGCACTTGCAGAGTGCACAGTCTGTTTGCCTTTAGTAAATCAACCCCAATGTATCTGTTTCTCCATTCATGAGAGTACAGGGGTGGGGTTTACAGAATGATCACTGTGACAGCCAATCACAGGCTATCACAGCGACCACGTGATCAGGATCTGTCAGTGATAGCTCCTTCTCTGTTCTGGGAGCTTGCATTTCCAGCACAAACACCAATGTGCATATACGTGGCACCTCGGTGCAGGGGCGGACTGACAACTCATGGGGCCCCCGGCAATAGGGGATCATGGGGCCCCTGTGTCCTTGCCCAAACTCAAAAAAGCCTATGTAAAAAGGTACCAGGGGCATCTCATGGGGTCCCCCTACTCGGGCAGTGCCCGAGGTTCCAAATGGTCAGTCTGCCCCTGCCTCAGTGACGTCACATATACAGTATGTTTGCAGTGGCGTATTTAGGTTTTGTGCTGCCCTAGGCAACACAAAAATCAGACCCCCTCCCCGGCAGAGAGAGTTTGACACTCACCAACACCAGCCCCCCCCCCCCCCCCCCCGCGGAGAGAGCCTGACAGTGACCAACAACACCCCTGCCCCATCCCACCCCCTCCCGAGAGAGCCTTCCACTAACACTCCCCCGCCCCGGCGAAAGAGAGAAAGACACTCACCTTAACAGCTCTGGACATCCCCGGGAATGACAATCGGGCTCTGCATACACCATCAAGCAGTCCGCAGCCTCTCTCGGATCCCACCTGGTCCCCATGCCGTATGTCCTTATTCCAGGGGACAGTGCTGCCCCCCTAAAAAATGCCGCCCTAGGCAAATGCTTTGTTTGCCTTGTGGTAAATACGCCCCTGTATGTGTGTGAAGTTGATGTCAATAGGTTAACCACGTTACACATGCCTAGAAAAAAACCTCCTGAAGTACACAGCGCATGTTGGGCCTGGATCACAAGACTTACCAAACAGAATCAGAAATGCCAGTTAGAAGAGCTCACATGAAAGCACTGTGACTGTGCATTTAGTTGTTTGCCTGTAGCTTGGCTCACACATAAAAAAAAAGGAATAAAATGGAAAACGCGCGGCATATTTGATATGAAATTATTACAAAGATGAACTTAGCCGCTAGCTGATCTTCCACCAGTACCCAGCAGGGCTCTGCTTATTGCTGCAGATGGTCGGAGGTAGAGTGAGTCGCATGGATGTGGCGAAGGCGGCGGATTTCTGAGGATCTAATGAAGTCTCGGTAAGGGGAGGCGAGAGGCACAGCGGAGGGATGGAGCCGTCACTTTCATCTGAGATGTAACTTTATGATCTGATCCATATTCTTCACACACTCTTTATTAGAACCCTTTTTCTTTCTTTCATTTTTTTTTTTTCCCCTCTCCCTCTTTACTCAATAAATATAAATGTCACCGATATAACTACGGAAGATTAGGGCTCCCTGACCTTTTCTAACAAAGGCTTGTCGTCTCTGCAGGCACCGCTTTATAGCAGACTGATGACTTAACCCTTCTTATACCAAACAGGTGGAAAGCGCACACTTTTTTCCACTTTTTCTTCTCCTTCCCAATGCAAAATTAAAGGTGAACTCTGCCACAAAAACTTTCATTTAACTATAATTTCAATAGCCACAAAGGATATAAATCCACGGGGCTTGTGCCCCTGCCCCTTCTCTCTGCCTGCTCCCCCCTGTACCTCCCTGCCCGATGGGTTATCCCCCCCGGCCCTCCCTGATTACTTTTGTGCTCTATATGTGTATGTCCGTGAAACTATATCAGTTTAGGTTTGGGTTTGTTTCCCCTTTGGGGGGGATGTTTTTGTTTTTAGTTTGGGGGTTTTTGGGTTTGCACTGCGTTTTTTTTTTTTTTCCAAAAATTTATTTTTAATTTTTGGGGTTTTTTTTCCCCCCCCCCCCGGGAACCCAAATTCCCCCCCAAAAAGGGGGGGGGGGGGGTTTTTTGGAAAACCCCGAAAAAAACGGGGGAAATAAAAAAAACCCCCCAAAAAAAAAACCCCCCAAAAAAAAAAAAAAAAATTTTCCCCGGGAAAAAAAAAAATTTTTAAAAAAAAAAATTTAAAAAAAATTTTGGTTAAATTTTTAAAATTTTTTTTTCAATTAAATTGGGTTTTTAAAATTTTTTCCCCCATCTTTGGGGGTAAAAGGGGTTTAAAAGGGGGGGTTTTGGTCCGGGGGTTTTTTTTGGGGGTTTTTAAAGGGGGGGGTTTTCCCCCCCAAATTAAAACCGGGCCCCCCCCCAAAAAAAAAGGGGGGGGTTTTTTTGGGGGGGGGGGGGGTTTTGGGTTTCCAAAAAGGGGCCCCCTCGGGGGCAATTTGGTTTTTGGGGGGGGAAAATTTTTTTGGGGGGGGGGGGGGGGGGAAAGGGGGGTTTTTTTTTTTTCCCCCCCTTTTTTTCCCCCCCCCCCCCCCCCCCGGGGGGGCCCCTTTTTTCCCCCCCCCCCAAAAAAAATTTTTTTTTAAAAAAAAAAAAAACCCCCCCCCAAAAAAAAAAAAAAAAAAAAAAAAAAAAAAATTTTTTTTAAAAAACCCCCCCCAAAAAAAAAAAAAAAAAACCCCCCCCCCCCCCCCCCTTTTTAAAAAAAAATTTTTTTCCCCCCCCCCAAAAAAAAAAAAAGGGGGGGGAAAAAAAAAAAAAAAAAAAATTTTTTTTTTTTTTTTCCCCCCCCCCTTTCCCCCCCTTTTTTCCCCAAAAAATTTTTTTTTTTTAAAAAAAAAAAATTTTTAAAAAAAAAAACCTTTAAAAAACCCTTTTTTTTTTCCCCCCCCCCCCCAAAAAAAAAAAAACCCCCCCCCTTTTTTTTTTAAAAAAAAAAAAGGGGGGGAAAAAAAAAAAAATTTTTTTTTTTTTTTTGGGGGGGGGGGGGGGGGGGGGGGCCCCCCCCCCCCCCCCCCCCCCCTTTTTTTTTTTTTTTTTTTTTTTGGGTTGGGGGGGGGGGCCCCCCCCCCCCCCCCCCTTTTTTTTAAAAAAAAAAAAAAAAAAAACCCCCCCCCCAAAAAAAAAAAAAAACCCCCCCCCCCCCCCCCCCCTTTTTTTTTTTTTTTTTTTTTTTTTTTTTTTTTTTAAAAAAAAAAAAAAAAAAAAAAAATTTTTTTTTTTTTCCCCCCTTTTTTTCCCCCCCCCCCTTTTTTTTTTTTTTTTTTTCCCCCCCCCCTTTTTTTTTTTCCCCCCCCCCCCCTTTTAAAACCAAGGGGGGGCCCCCCCTTTTTTCCCCCCCCCCCCCTTTTTTTTTCCCCCCCCCCCCCCTTTTTTCCCCCCCCCCCCCCTTTTTTTTTTCCCCCCCCCCCCCCTTTTTTTTTTAAAAAACCCCCCCCCCCCCAAATTTTTTTCCCCCCCCCCCCCCCTTTTTTTTTTTTTCCCCCCCCCCCCCCCCCCAAAAAAAAAAAAAAAAGGGAAGGGCCCCCCCCCCCCCCCAAAAAAGACAAAAAAAAAAACCCCCTTTTTTTGGGGGAAAAAAACCCCCCCGGGGGGTTAAACCCCGGGGGGGGGGGAAAAAGGGGGGGGGAAAAAAAAAAAAAAAACCCCAAAAAAAAAAAACCCCCCCCCCGGGGCCCCCTTTTTTTTTTTCCCCCCCCTTTTTTTTCCCCCTTTCCCCCTTTTTTTTCTTTTCCCCCCCCCCAAAATTTTTTCCATAATATTGCCTAGCGTCTAATTTTATCCTTCCTTCCCAAGGCAGAGAGGCACACATGTTCCATCTCCTCGCACCATCTGTAACATACAGCAGTTTGCTCTATTAGAATTCCGTGTTGTGAGCGCTAATATCTCCCCGAGGCATTCTCTACTGGGTTCTATTGACTGATAATAATGGCCGCATGGAGTATGGATTTAAACAGCTGAACCGATAAGTAGACAAAATGGCAGAGCATTTAGTGGGCTTACCTGGGAAAGATATCATTCCTGAAAATAATCATTCACCGGAGAAAGATGGGGCTTAATAGGAGGGACAATGGGGGTGGAATTGAAAAAAATTACCTTTAGCTCTGGGCTGTCAGCGGACAATGGAAAGTAAAATGTGCTCCAATGTCGTACAATGAATTTTCCAGAAAATGAGAAGGCGTACTGTGTATATATAGTGGGCTTCACACACACTCACATCTTAAAGGCGAACACCAGGCACACAGCTAAATACACACATACATTATATATAACGGAACAATTTTATCTGTTAAAGGATTTGTATTTCTGTCCATCCGGTCCTGAGATTAACACAGCTCTGCCACACAGCACAGCCCTGTCTGGCAGGGCAGGCGACCCAAATTTTCTCTTCTGCAGTTCAGTAACACTTACAGGTCTTGTCCCTCCCCCAAGCTGTGATTGGACAGTGAAAGGCAAAGCAGCAAAGTAATGAACTAATCTCTGTC